ACACAGACAAACTTTCTGCCAAGGCATATATCTCATCTGGAGTCCAATAGCCATTTCAGTTTTTCTTCCCGGCGCAAATCTACTGAGCCTGATCTTTGCTGGCAGAATTTCTATCAGCATTCTGGTCTTCTGAACTCTGACCAGAATGTCTATCAAGTACAGCATCAGATATTCCAGCTCTACTTTTTTAGCTAGCATCTCTAAAGCTTTCCAGACTCTCCCCACAAGCCAATCCTAAAAGCTCCTGAACCATATGTCCAGGTACACTCACAGCAATGACCTCATTCTTGGTACCAAATTTTGTCTTGGTTACTTTTCTCTCACTGCTGAGAAAAAAAATACCTAACACTCAAATTTAAAAGGAAAAAGGTTTATTTAGTTCAAATAAACCTTGGGCTGTCTGTGCTTTGTAGAGAGTACAATCCATAATAATCTGGCTCTAAGGGTGGCATGGCCCACAGGCATAACCAAGGAAAACCAGTTCATGGTAGGTAAAACATAACAAAACAACAAAAGACAAACACAGCAGTTTCTATCCCTGATAGCCTATCTAGGCTACTTGGGGTAGCACTCACACTCTTTTTTTAAAAAATTTTATTTATTTGTGTGTGTGTGTGTGTGTGTGTGTGTGTGGCCAGCTCAGCCCACCAGGGGGCGGTGCTGGCTGGCATGTGGTGCTGGGGGATTGAACGTGGTCCACTGTGCTTTGCCAAGCTTGTTCTAAGTAGGTGCTTTAGACCACTGAGCCATCTCACCAGCCCAGCACTCACACTCTTAATCCTAGTGCCCTTGAGTCTAGCATTGCACCATGAATCAATTCGAGCATCACACATTCTAGATCCACCACCTCTGAAAAGCCTCACCTATGACCACGTGAGGCTTGTGGGGGAGGCATCTGAATACAAACCTAAATAACACTGGGGCTCCTTCAAGGTCAGCAGCCCTGGCCCTGGGACATGGGTCTCCAGGCGGCAAGGCAGGGAACTCTCTTAGGCTGCTCCTTTATGTGGTAGTCTGAGAATTGCGAGGGAAGACCTTAATTAATGAGACCCTAACAAGGGCTAACATTACTCTATAGGTATACTCTCTAGGTATAGATATCCAAGTTCTGTTGGATATCTCTCCCTGTACCGCAAAGGGGCCCTGAGAGACAGGCGGGAATGACTATTGCTGGTTTACAGATGAGCAACTGGACTCAAAGCCAAGTTCCTTGCCCATGATAGAAGCCACAGGTTTAAATCTGGCCTTCAGCTCCCAGTTCCATGTTGTTTATGTTTTGCAGTGCCATGTCCCACATCTGTGCAGAGGTGAGGCCAGGTTGGACAGCAGGTGGACAGGTCCTAGGTGAGCCTGGAGCAGAAGGGAGATACTACTACCCAGTAGGAGGGGAGGGAAGAAGCTCTCCCCAGGGGTGACGCTGGAGATGGGCTGGGTTTCTGCAGGCAGCTTGGGTGGAAGAGGTGACCTAAGTGGACATATGACAAGGTATAGGGCCTGCTCAGAAAATAGAGAACTCCCCACTATGGCTGGAGCACAGGAGGCTTCAGGGAAGACCTGGAACTGGGCGAAAGAGGAGGAGGAAGAGGAGGAGATGGAAGAGGAGGAGGTTGTCCTTCCACATGGCCAAAGTGAGGAGTATGAGAGAAAATGGATTCCTGGAGATCACAGGGAGTCACTGAAGGTTAGAGAGCAGGGAGTGGACCCAGTGCCAGGGCCACAGGACCAAAATGGTCTCCATCTGTTTCCTCTTCTGTTCATCTCCCTCGTTCAGCATCTCCCTTGTGCCAGACTCTGGGACTCTGGCTCTAGATGAGACCCAGCCTCTGACCTCTGACCTTCAGGAGCTCACAGGCCAGTGAACTGGGATGCCTTTGTGCAAGGTCCATCTCACCTTAGGGAAACTTCTAGTGTGGGGAGGAAAGCCCCCATCTACTGCAGCTGGTAGCAAAGACAGCCCATTGCTCATTCCAGGGACCCCCCCCACACACACACACCTCCCTGTGTAACCAGAGCCTGGGGCAGGGGACTCGTGAAGGAAGGGAGGCTAGGCTTCACACTAGAGCCTGGAGAGCCCCAGGTGCCTCATGGGCATCAAGATTACAATGTTTTTTGACCCAGGACTTTTAGAGCTTGGGTCTCAGCTTCGTCCTTCATAGAACTTTCCAGAAGGTAAGTGAAGATCTCTTCAGAACACTGCTGTTAGAGATGTAAGTGGAAGCTGCATCTATAGAGGCCAAGGACTTTCTTTTTTTTCTTTCTTTTTATGTATTTGGTACAGGGTCTCACTACGTAGCTTGGACTTGTGATCCTCCTGTTTCAGCCTCCTCAGCGCTGGGATTACAGGCGTGTACCACCACTCCTGGTTGCGACATTCTTATGACAATCATATCAGCCGGCTCTGTGTCATCTGATCTAGGGCTGGAGAATTTACATCCCAACCCTAGTTAGCCGTGGCCGCACTGAAAACAGAGCCCACCATTACAGAACCAGGCCTCAAGACTGAATCATCCCAGAGCAGACAGAAAGTCTTCAATTAGCGGGAGAGTGCTGGCGGGGAAACTCGGTGCTCACGTCCTGTTCCTGAGGGTAATTCTAACCTGACTGATTACCCCTAAGTTCTTATATCAGCCTGACCATAGAAATAGCCCGATTCACTTCTAATTGCACTGTGGGACCTTTACGCATATGGATGACGTCACTGTGCCATTAGTGACAAACACACTTTAAATGAGAAAGTGGGCAGTGTTTCAAAGGGATTAAGGTGTCACTCAGACAGTGGGAGCAGGGAATTGAAGGAAGGAGCCATGTGTGTTTGGAGCACTCAGTGAGGATGTTAGAAATCCTGCAACCACCTTGTAAGCTTCTGATTTTCACAGCCAGGGAGGGAGAGGACAACGGAAGGGCAGGAATCATCAGAGATGACGCAGAATGAAGCCCACAAGTCCTCCTGTATCTGCTGCAGCAGGCAGGGGAGCACAGAGCTCCCTGGCACTGCCATCCTCTTCTCACCCTTGGTGCCAGGGGTGTGGCCGCCGTCTGGGAGCAGCTGGCAGGGAGCCACCCATGCATGAGCTGTGACATGCTGAGCCGTCCACTGAGATCAAAGCACCCAGCCCTGACAGGGAAGGTTTTCTCCCAGGAAGCGCTGTGGCACAGACACACCCTGTGGGGCCGTCACGCACCCTCCCATGTTCACACCTGTGGCCACAATTATGTCCGTGGCTGAGGAACTGGGCCCTGTAATGGGAGAAACCAGCAGGACAGGGAAGGTGACATTGGGTCCCTTCCCTCTGTTATGGTTTGTGTCTAGATATTCCCCCAAAGCTTCATGCAGTATGAGTGAACTCAGAGTTTATGATTGATTAATGGTCCAATGCTGGAATTATGGGTGTGAGTGCTACACCCGCCCTGGGGCGGTAGACTGAAAACAACAGGCTTGCCACCGTGAAGTGCTGCCCTCTGCCACTTGCCACTCTGCCTTGGAGCCAGCCGAGTACGGACTGAAAGCCCCACAAACGGTGAGCTACATAAACCTTTCCTGTCTTAATTTTGGGGATTGGGTACTTTGTCTCAACAATGAGAAAAAAGTAACTGAGACACCCTCCGCTCCCAAACCCTTCTCTCAGAGCAACTATTGGTGCATTCTGCATCTTTTATTTTTTTTAGACTCAGTCTTACTACGTAGTTCAAGTGGGCCTTGAATTCACTATACAGCCCAGGCTGGCCTCCAACCTGCAGCAGACCTCCTTCCTCAGCCTCTCTTGGTGTCCTTGGAAACAGGCATGCAGGACAGCGAAGAAGGCAGCACTCCTGAGTGAAGAAGAAAGGGGTGTGGGACCTTCTGTTTGTTTTTACTGGAGACAGGAGTTAGGATTAGTTATAAAGAAACGCCCTAACAGCGTCACTGCCAAGCTGGGATGTGCCGAGAGACGCAGCACGGGCCAGGGAGCAGGCTCCAGATGTTTCAGGACTGCTCTGCCCAGAGGACTGTAGTCACCTGGCGAGAAGCCTCGCTTGACAGCAGGTGATCTCAGTCTCTTCATCAAAGCTGTGGTTTCTCCATCTGCGACAGCACTGGTGCTTAGCATAGTGCCTGACGTGCAGCTGGTGGGCGTCAGCAAGCGGACACATGACTATTTGTGACCAGGCGGCCGCTGTCAGAGTGCAGAGCGGAGGGTCTCAGTGCCTTCCTTGTCGCTGTATAACTGAACGCCAGTGGGGCATGGTGGCGCACACCTGCAATCCTAGTACTCGAGGGGCTGAGGCTGGAGGGTAGCCGCGAGTTTTAAGGCTGGCATGGGCTACACAGCGAGTTCAAGGCCAGTCTGAACTACATCACAAGACCCTGTTTCCAACTAACCAACCAACTGAATAGGGCAGTTTGGCTGACTTAGGACAGAGGATCCGGAAGCCCCTGGCATTAGAGGCTGGTTGGTCAAGAGCTGCTCCAGGCAAGGTCCGTGGTTGCCTTTGTTTTGTTACAGAAAAGTACACAGCAAGAAAATGCTTGTGAGTGGAAGGGACAGAGGGGACCAGTTCCACTTTCTAACAACCTGTTCTATCACCTACCCTCCCTCCAGAATTAACCTACTCCCCTGAGAAAGACCTCATGCCCTCTGAAGGGCTTCTCTCTCAAAGCGGCCATGACGGCATAGCATATCAGAACAGGAATTCTGGTGGAGACAGGCCACATTGGGGACAGTGCTGTGTATTAAGATCGAGGGCTCTGTTTGGTTCTACAACTGCAGCAAGGCCTCTGTGGAAATAGCCAAGGCTGTTTCTGGAAGTGAGAGGACGTTTGGGGGCAAAAGGAAAGCAGCCATCAGGATTCAAACAGCTAAGAGACAGAGTCACCCATGTCCCCACAGGCTGGGTCCAGTGCAGACAGAAGACACCAGGCCCAGGCCAGGCTCATGTTGGCAGCAGAGCCACACTCGCACCTGCGAAACACCCAAGCCATGTCCTGATTGTCCCAGGACCTCGAACGCAATGGGACTCACTTGCACATGTCCTCCCATCGCTGCGGAGTACATGACCCTCAGGACACTGACAGGCGAAGGATCTCTCCGTGTTGACACAGGTGTATTCACATCCAGGGTCACTCAGCAGGCAGTAATCTACTCCTGCAAAGCCAAGACCAAGGTGAAGTCCCTGGGGCCCCATCAGGGAGGCCCAGGGCTAGGAGGATGCCCGCCACCCCGGGGGGCATGCGGTCCCTGGCAGAGTGCCTCTCCCTAGAGAGAGGCACCGAGGGGACTCACTGGAGCAGGTCTTGAGGTCCTCATTGATGAGGAAGCCTTCTGAGCACTGGCAGACGAAGGACTCGTCCGTGTTCAGGCACAGCTGCTCACAGCCGTGGTCCTGTGCGCAGTGGTCCACCCCTGTGTGGGTCACACGTGTAAGCCCAAGGGCGAGGGAGCAAGGCCCTCCTAGCCAAGGGCGCTGGAAAGTGAAGCCTGCTTAGAAGGGAAGGTGACATGCTGCGCCACACCACCATCTCTCTGGGGAGTCAGCCTGGCTTGTTTCTCTCCTCACCTCTTTGAACCCCTGGCCAGGGCCCTGCATGTAGAATCTGCTGTGTCTGCGCTGACAGATGCTGAGGGCAGGTGTGATTTGCGTATCACAGAGCGTGGTGCTTAAGAATAGGGCTGCGTGGTTTAAATCCTACCTCCCCTGCATCCTAGCTGCGGACGCAGGCAGTCACGCGGCCTCTGTGTGGCTTCTCATCATCTCCTGACTAGAGCAATGGGAAGGATGCGGGCTGGCTGCTTTCTGACAGGACTGTGGTGAGACATGGAGGCAGTGACACACAGAGAGCAGGCCTTCCGAACAGCAGCTGGCACTCGGCAACCACTTCACAAGAGCTTAGGGTTATTAGCAAGTAGTGCTGTGTAAGGACTCACTGTATATTTTCATTTCTATTTGAAAATTTAAGACTGTGATTTTTCTTTAATCCTCCTAATCGGGACACCCAGATTCGGAAAACAAACCAAATCCCAAGCCGACCTGTGTGGCCCAACCTGGCACCCAAACCATACAGCTGGGCCCTGGACTGAGAGAAAGAAAGCCAGTGAACACACAGCTGTGGCCGACGGCTCCCACAGACAGCCCACAGGTGGCCTCAGACTTCCTGGATGAAGAAAGTATACCCCAGACTGCACAGATACTGCAAGCCTTGTCAAGGGCCACCAACTGAGCTCTTCATTTTTGTGGGCCCTGGAACCAATCCTTCTAGAACTTTCTCTCATGAAGCAACCTAGTTGCAAACACCTGTAAAACAGGGATTGAACTCAGGACCTAGCACTTGCCAGGCAAGCGCTTATTCTACTGAGCTATCTCCCCGGCCCTTGTTTTCCCATTTTTAAAAGGGATAAGAATATGGGTGGCTCACAGGCCTGTTGAGAGGTGCAGGAAAGTTGGTCATGGAAAGTGCTTGCCACACCTACCTACACAGGCTGAGTGCCTCCTAAGGCTCTGCTGTCACTGTGCTTTGGGGCTCCCAGAGCCCTCTTGGGGAGCAGAAGACCTTGGCTTTCTCTAGGGACTTCTAGATAGAAGTGGCCTCTGTTACACTTTCTTATAGCTGACCAGACTCCAGAAAGAATGGAGGGTCACTATGTCTTTTAGCCAAGCCTCTGGGCCCCTGCAAGCCCCCCATGCTGGGAGACAAGCAGGCAGACCCTGGCTCTCGGTGGCCTAGGTGGCTTAGCCAAGTCATGCCTACCCTCAGGAAATTTTCCGGGACCAGTAGCTGGCAGATACCACATTCCTGGAAAAAGGCAGGGTTGGCTGGGATTTGTCATGACCAGATCTCCCTCCTTGCTGAATGCAACACACACACACACACTCACACACACACACACCCCTGCTCCCCGCTGGCTAATGCACAGCACAGCCCGGATGATTCACCAGCTTCCTCATCTGAAAGCTGCTGGCCTTGGAGATCTGCCTCAGAAAGCCTCGTCGTAGGACTGTGTTTCCTCCACAGACTGAAGGGGAACAGGTTTTCCTGAGGACGGCGCTGGACCTCATGCTCCAGCTGTGAAACCGCCCCCTTTCCTGGCAATTTAGTGTCCAAATGCTCAACAGCTGCACTGTTCTCCTCAATCCTCCTCTGTCTCCAGCGCTGGAGCAGATGTGCACTGGCTAGCAGAAAGCCACACAAAGGGCCTCTTCTCTGCAGGCCGTGTCACTGAGCCCAGCGCCGAGTAACATGGTCACAGGGATCAGGCACAGTGCCTGTGCGCTCCCACCCTGCTGGCCTGGGCCGTGGAGCCTGTGTCTCATAAAACACAACAGGACCAGCCAGCTGGCAGGGCCTGCAAGTTCCCATGTGCTTACATCACGTACGGCTCTGTGGGCTCTGACACAGGATGTGAAAAAAGGCTTCATAAAACCCTGAGTCTCTCAGTTCTGTCCTCAGAGCAGCCCGGGAGCTGCTGCTTCTGAGGTGCAGCCCTTCCAACCTCTTGTCCCAACCTGGGCCTGGACACTGGTCACTCTTATCTGCCCCATGTGTGAGCCACTGTCCTTAGTGAGATGTTTACCTTGCACTAGTCATGAGGCTAAGTGATGGAAATGGTCCCAGTTACTTCCCATAACCGCCCTGGAAGACCAAGACTAATATTATCGTCACTTTTTAAAATAGGAAATCAAAGCTGAAAGAAGCAACTCGCCCAAAGTCACTTGAGCAGAATGTTTAGACTTGAATTCAGGCCTACCTGACCCAGTCCATGCTTCCAACAGCTAAGATTAATAATACTAATATTTACTGAGGGCTAGAATAAATACTGTGTGAGCATATTAGATATATGAATCCTTCAATCCTCACAACCCAACCCATAAGGCAGGTAGACTTAACAGTTCTGTTTTACAGGTGATGAAACCAAGACAGACCCACAGGAAACCTGGGAGCTCCAGAATGGCGAGGGAAGCCTGTGTCCATCCGCCCCCGCACCCCTAAAGTACACTCACTGCTGCAGGTCCTGCCGTTGGGGTCCAGGGTGTAGCCCCGGCGGCAGCGGCAGTAGTGGCCCTCCTCCGTGTTGACACATTCGTGCTCACAGCCCGGTTTGTTCAGCGCGCAGTAGTTGATTCCTGTGGGGAGAAAGTGCTGCCCTGCGTCATTTGGAGTTTCCTGTATCACAAGGTCAGAGCTTCTTTCAGGCCCGGGCTCCTCAGGGCCCCTGCAGATGCTGACGCTGCTCCCTGCCCAGGCAAGCAGAAAGTGATCACTCATTCATTAGCAATCGGGGCCCAGGCATCCAGGAAGGTGTGTGGGATAGGAAAAGGTCTGCGCCTCCTGGTGAGGAGACAAGGGAACCAGGTCATCAGGCAACAAAGAAGAGGGCCTGCTGAATCTATGGACTCAGCGTCTTCCCCAAATGAGTGCTGCCAGCCGGAGGCTTTTCAAAGAGAGGAGTTAAACAGGTAAAGGGGACCAAAGGAGCAGAGAGTAAGGACTGGGGCACAACACAAGCCTGGGGGTACAGGGGCACACAGTTGGGAGGCAGAGGAGCAGATGAAGGCTGAAGTAAGAGAATGGAGCAGGCTGGGCAGGAAAGGTTGGGCAGGAAAGGTTGGGCAGGGCCTTACAAGCCACAGGATGGAGCCAAGAATGCCGTAAGCGGTGGCCAGGCTGGGCGCATCAGCAGAGGTGGAGAGGCCTCAGAGAGGATTCCGCGGCGGAGAGGGAAAGACAGTGAACTCAGCAAACACTCAGCAGCAAGGTGTGCCGCAGGACACAGAAACAGCCCATGTCTCGGGGCTGGTGCTTGTGTGCAGAAGCCTGGATCCAACATGCGCTCTGGGTTCCCTGCCACTGCTTTCCTTCCTTGGCCGGCCAAAGGCCCAGTCAAGGCCCACAGCTAAGCTGAGATGAACTGAGTTGATGGCTAAGAGCTGAATTGGGGTGAGCTCCATGCTGCCCAGCCCACTGCCTTTCAAATTGTTGCAGGCAGCTGAATTAGATAGAAATATTATAGGCAGCCTCTCCTTGAGGGCCGCCTTCAAGGAGACAATATGGAAGACAAAGTAACTTTGCAACTTTGGAAGAGACAGCCCTCCTGGCTGTGGGCCAGACCTCAAGACAAAAGTAAACAAATGCAGTCATAAACTTCCCTGGGGATGGGCATCAGTGATTGATATTCTAAATAGGTACCAATCACCTTGAAAGAGGCCAAAAGAGTCACCAACCCAACCCCAACAGGAAGAGATCCTGTGCCCTGTTCGTGCCCGCTTGCTACATGACTCTTTCTCATTTGGTACTGGATTTAATCCACTGTACCTGAGCAATGGTGCTTGTAATCTCATTGGTTGATCATAGCTTTGTCCCACCTCATGCCCACCTAGGCGAGTTCCGTGTTCTACCACCTTAGCCCCACCTCACCGCATAGTTTTACACTATAAAAGTCCCTGGAAGAGACTGCTTCCCAGGACAACCCACTTGGGGTCCCTCTTCTGTCCCTCTCTTGGACAGAACTTTCTTTCCCCCAATAAATATATTCTGCTCTTAACTTTCATTTGTTCCTAAATTTATTCTTCGGGTTTAGAGAACACAAACTCATCCCAGATACCTTTCAGGTTGGAAGTTTCATTTTTCCCCTATATCAAAATGAGATGGAGAAGCAAGAAAATCCAGCCTCTTCCTCCAACAGACCTGACCTGACCAGGCCAGTTAGCCCTGTGACCACATGCTCAAAGCACGTGGGCAACTCTACATTGATGTCTGACAGCGACGTGCAACAGCTGGAGGTGGAATAATCCAAAGCTGATCTCGCAGACTACCTGGCCACTTAGAGGAGTCTGGAAATGGCAGTTACAGGAAGGGTCCAAGGGCTTCACTTTGCTGAGATCATGACAGTAGCCGTACTGTGAAACAGACAGTCTCTGCCGTTGCCCAGGTTGCTACAGTTCTGTCCATGTGAAGGTCACCCACATTCAAAGCATGCTTCCCCTGGTAGACAGAAGCTGTCTCCTAATCAGCAGGCAACCATCAAGTTACTCCCTTGTGACAGCAGGTCACAGGGGAGGGGAGGACTGGACAAGAAAATGAAAGAAGCTCTCAGAGGGCCTTTGTGAGAGTGGAGGAGCAAAGGTCACCACTGACTTCACTGTCTGGGCCAGTCTAACTGCACTACATTGTTCTTTTCCCATGGAAGTGGCAGGCACTGCAGTTGTCTTGCCAACAACCATTGCCCTGTGGTCCCCAGGCCACAAATCATGGCTGGCCTCAGCCAGTTAGCCCTGTGACCATGTTCTCCTTCCTTGGGGACTGGCCTATGGGTGGAATGTGCCCTAGTTCTGGCCAGGAAGCCATACAGACAAGTTACCCTGGAGCGGCAGATGTAGCCCATGAAGTTAGGCTGCGGCACACAGGTACCGGACTGAAAGAAAGGTCACCTGGCTGTGTCCTGCACCCTCGACACTCCCAGTGGTCCATTCCTTCAGCACAAAGAGAGGTGGCGTATTAAGATGCCTTAACAAGCTCACTTGCACTGGGACACCATCAAGGACCTACAGGCCAGCAAAGAGCCTGGACAGAGAGAAGTGGAGCTAGCACTCACAGACAGGCAGACCCAGGGCAGGGGCTGCAGTCCAGGCGGTGCAGTGCAGGGGCTGGGGGAATCATTTCATGACCCAGGAGTGTCCAGCCCTTTGGCCCATCTTGGGCCACAGTGAGAAAAGAGGAATTGCCATGGGTCGCATATAAAAATGCACAGTGGAGTGAATGTAAATAAGTAACAGAACTTATTGAATTACTTTATGAAAAACAAGCCCAAGTTTAACAACTAAGTAAGAGAAGTTGCATGTCTGCCTAACAATGAGGAACATCGTGTTCACAGGGACACACTGCGGTTCCATCTGATGGGGTCATGCGGCAGGCCCAGGGGCCAGGGTTGGCCCTTCGGCCTCTGCCATACAGCATTCACTGTCCCTGTCATCACTGTTGACTGAGTCTATGCCATCCATGCCCGAGCACTGTGTAATCAAGTCCAAAAAAGGCTTGCAAGCTTGTGGGGCTGCAATACTAGCTTTCCGCAGCTGCGTGAGGTCCAGGGAAAGGGGAAATTATGTTCAGCAAACTCTGTTTTCAAAAGCCACTGAAGAAGACAGCATGGCAGTTCTGCCAAAGTGAAGGACCAAATAAACCACAGGATCCAGGAATCCTGCTCCCAGGTTCATAAATCTGAGATCACGGCAGCACCATTTACAGCAGCTGAAAGGTGGGAACAACCCCAGGAGTGTATGAACAGGTCAACCAAATGTGGTATAGACATACAGTGGAGTATTATTTAGCTGGCAAAAAGAGAGAAACTGTGTGGGTTGGATCACTTCAACTGCACTGTGCTGTTTTTCTGTGGACGTGGCTGACACATGCTACAAATGGCTGAACTGTAAAGACACCATGTTAAGTGAGACAGACCAGCGATAAAAGGATAGATGTCGTAGGATTCCACTCACACAAGACACTAGGATAGCCCAGTTCTTAGAGCCAGAGAGTAGACTAGTAGCTGTCACAGGATGAGGGGGACAGTGCTAAGCACAGAGGGCTTCGGCTGGGTGATGAGAAAGTTCTGGGATGCAGCGGGACATTTGTGCGTTATGTGAATGGGCTCAGGGTGCAGAGCTGCACTCTTAACATGGTTGAGATGGAGGACTTCACGGCATTTTGACATAATTGAGAGTCAGCGTTATCTTTAAAAACATGTTAACAAACATACACGAATGATTTTTGTCAATAAATAAATAATATTTAAAGAGATTCTTTTAAAAAGAGAAATACGTATACAATTATTCAGCCAGGAATAATTTTAATTCTACCTGGAAAACGGACCTTTAGAAATGATCCTTCTCCAAATGATTCTTACTTTTTCTTTGTGATAGTTGAAAATATATTGCAACTGATATATAAAAAATAAAAAATTATGCATATTAATGAGGTGCCATACCATGCTTGATACATGTATACACTGTATACATTAAATCAGTTTAAACCCATCTACCTGATCAAAACTGTTTTATGTGGCTCAGTGGTAGAGCGCTTGCCCAGAAGGCATAGGCCCTGGGTTTAATCCTTACTACTACCAAAAAGTAAATTTTTTTTTTAAAAATATTCTTTACAGTGAATGCAGGGCTCCTGGCTCTCTTCACACAAGTCACATGGCCTGTGTGTTATTTACATATTCCTTCACTCATTTATTCAATACCCATCTGTGGAGTATCTTCGAGGCACCTAGGATAGCTAATTGTGGAGTCAGCTTGAATATAAATACCTAGCAGGTTGGATGAACACAGTTCTGAGTGTCTGATGATTGGCTTAGTGAAGATCGAAGCCCCACCCAGGAGCAGGTGCCACCAGCCAATGGGCAAGCAGCTTGGATGGAATAAAAAGGGAAAGTAGAAGGAAGCCTCACTTTTCACTTCTTCTAAGGAGCTCCAGTCCTCACCATCTCCTCTGGAATCTGTCTCCAAACTCCCAGTGCAGATGCTCAGCCTGCCAGGGCAGACCCTCTGGCTTCCTGATGCGGACTCACACGGGCACTAGTGATCCCCAGGCCTCTGACTTTCACCCCGATCCTTTGGGTTTCCAGCACACACACAAGGCACTTCAGCATTCTTTCTCCCCTGACTCTGCAGGTGATCACTGAAAGCCTCCCTTGTAAATCCTATTCTGCTAGTTAGCCCTACTGATACAGAGCCCCACATCTGCCTATGTGAGCCCCATGAACTGTGAGGTAGTACACATGGGTCTGAGAAGCTCCAGTATATACAAGAAATCCTGAGTTATGTGACTGAACTACCAGGTGACAAATTAAATAATCTTTATGATGCCAGCTCCTAAAAGACCTGACTGAGAAGGCAAGACCCCACACCTACGAGGTCAGGGGCCCAGGTGGTAAATTATAATGCCAGCTGAATGGCTCCATGAGTAGGTTTCAGAAAAGCTGGACGGATTAAAAAAACAAAGGCAGGCAGTCCCATTCCTTCGTTTAGGAAAGCCAGGCTCAGAGGAGTAGGAGGTAGCTTGCTCAGGCGACCCAACCAATATGAGTGACATTGCCCAGACTGGACCTCACCTCTGGCTCAGTTCAGTCTGGGGACCTGGGCTGGCTTTTTAGAGGGCATTATCCTTAGCCGCGGGAAGCCCTCACTGGTTTACCAGCATGAGGAGTGCTGGAGCCCACAACCCGGGTTGCACCCGTTCAGCCAGCCCAGCCGTAGCTTTTGTATGGTGCAGCGAGGCCTCTGTAATCATGTCTTCAGCCAAAGGAAAACTGCCCAGATGAAGAAGCCTGGACCCTGGCCAAGAGCTTTCCTTCAGAATTCCACCCACCCACCCGGTTTAACTGGATGACACCAAATTGCTTTGCTACATTTTCTTATTACCTTTGAAAACAGCCTACATCCATCAGCCTCCTATTAAATATAAATGGCTGCACCCTCAGCTCAATGCTCTGATCACTTGAGAGACTTCAGGTTCCGAATAATAAAGCTCAGCTTGGAAGTCTAATTTCTTTGTTTCCCTGCCGTGTAACCCTCCAGGGAGACCTCAAGTATTCACTTCCAGTCCAGCTCTGCCACGAGGACCAAACGCAAGTGCAAGTCAGGGGCTCCGAGAGGTGACATCAGGCATCCGGGGCTGGGCCCTCCACAAAGACAATGGAAAATGTAAGGAGGAAGTGGAACTGTGGGAGAAGTTGCTAATGAGGACAATGGCTTTTAGGAACAAATTCTGTTTTTCCTGGATGAAAAAGTAGGGCACCTGGCTAAGGAGGAAGTAGAGCCATCGCCGCAGAGACTGCGTGAATGACCACTGGGGCTGTGGCTGGGGCCACAGTCTACATCTAGGCCTATCCATGGGCCGATCTGTGTTCAAACTCACTGTCGGCCTCCCTGCTTGGCGTCTGTGCTCTGGGTGCCTCTCCAGACAGGGTGTGGAGGGCGTGGCAGAGGCCGAGGGACTCAGATGACTGAGCCACAAGAAACGTCCCTACCCATGACCGCTGCCTAGCATACCTCCCTGTCCCCTCAGTGACCACAGGAAGCTTGCAACCCTAATAAATGTATGTGATGAACAAAAGCATTATCCCCCACCTAAGAGCTCTGGATCCACACACTAGAAAAAGGTGTGAACAGCCCCGAGGGGCCTGGCCAGGCCGGAGGAGCTGGCCCTGCTACATGGTGGAGGCATGTGTGGTCTAAGGGAAAATGCTCTAATTGTTTTCACATTTCAGATGCGCTCAATTAAAGTTCCCGTTTAGTGCTTGCGTGTCTCCAGGATTTGTGTCCAGACAGAGCAATGGGGATTATCTTTTATAAGAGAGGCTCAGTTCAAAATATGGGCTCTGCCACCATCTGCCACCATCCAAGGTTTAGTCCCAGGACGTGAGTTAATGTGTGTCCCAAGCAGAATGCACCTCATCTGGGTTCAGTCACACATGGCCCACGAAGCTCCGCAGAAGAGGTACATCGTGTCGCCTTTGAAAATGAGGTCTGCCTTGAGGAACTCTGCTGTCCACATCTCCAGTAAGAAGTCTGGGAAGGGGAATGCTGGGAAATGCAACCCCAAACTCTCTCTAGAGAGTTCTGCAAGTGATAGGGTCAAAGACCACCCATTCACCCCTTCCTCCATTCATCCATTCTGCGTACACATATTGCACTGTGTGTACCACATGTGTGTAGCTGTTGATCTGGCCATGGGGAGAAGACAACCACCTTGTGGCCTTCCGGTCTAGTGTCCCTCAGGAAGTTTGGTTTAAAGACGTCCCACTTAGGGTCCGTGCTGTAGGTTGCTGCTCATGTCCCTTGAAGGCAGGTGACAGGCACTTTTTGAGTCACCCAGCACACCCTCACCATCCTTCGATGCCCTGTACCCACTGAGTGTGGCCACGATGCTTCTGAATCTTATTTTTCTCCTTCCTTCCTGGCAAAGAGGACAGAGCTGCAGCTGGTCTCTCTAGCAGCCACCAAGTGTCTTATCTGGTAGGACTGAAAGAATCCAGATGTTTTGATGCCCTTTTTCTGGGCTCAGTCTTTCCTTTTTCTAGGGGGTAAGACGGACCAAGAGTAATTCCTCATTTCAACTAAACAGAACTTCAGCTTGGACCTTGACTTTGCTAAACAAATACAATGGTCAGACCCAGTCTATCCAGTCTTTACAAAACACTCCAGGAGGACTGAATGAACCAAAGACAAAATAAAGGGCAGAATAATATTAATAAACACAAAGGGCTGGCCAAATAGCTCAGTAGACTAAGGCACCTGCTCAGGCAGAACACAGTAGCCAGGGTTCGATCCCTGGCCTGCTGTGCTGGCTCTGCCCCTGGGGCACACTGAGACAGTGATTGAGACTGGGTATGGTAGTGCACACCTGTAATCCTAGCTCCTGGGAAGCTGAAAACAGGAGAATCAGGGCTGGGGAGATGGCTCAGTAGAATAAGTGCTCCCCTGTTAAGCGCAAGGGCCTGAGTTCAATCCCTGGCTCCACAAAAAAACCCAAAAACAAACAAACAAACAAACAAACAAACAAAAACCAAACAGGAGAATCACTACAAGTCTGATCTATGCAGTGAGACCCTATAGACCCCGTACTAAATACATAAAAAAATATATTAATAGACACAAATGCTGAGTGTGGGTATAAACTGCTTAAGATTTGCAAGGAAAGGAAAACTAGAGGAGAATTAGGTGGGCAACACTAGCAACGCCCAGTGTGACTTACTTCTGCAAGTTTTCTTGTCTGGATTCAGCGTGAAGCCTTTCAGGCAGCGGCAGGAGTAGGACTCGTCTGTATTGACACATTCGTGCTGACACCCGTGATTAGGAGAGGCACAGAAGTCTATCTCTGCAAAGAGAAGCATCAGTAAAATGTTGAGCTAAGCCATACAACTACCACCTAAAAACAAGAGCTTTTCATCTTCATTTTTCCTAGATGGATAGAACCCACGCCTCAAAGACGTATGCCCGGAAGTGATCTTTCAATAGAGAGGTCTATGAGTTTTGTTTGTTTGTTTGGCAGAACCGGAGATAATAGAGAGGTCTAGAGATACATATGCCTGGAAGAGAATTTTCTTGACAAAGGACACAATATCTAAGGAACTAATTTGTGGACATACTTTCTTTATCTTGGCTCATGTAAGAGCAACTCCAACTAGAATTCCTGGATTATGGGGTGGAGAGAGAGATCAGCTCAAGAAATGATGAAATTAAAACAATTAAACCTTCCCCTAAGTCAAACTCTATACCATTCGAACTCCTCTAATATTAAGCCAAATAGGATACAAAAGCATCCTGGGAAATATAAGGCCTAAAAGAGAAAGACACAAATATCCCAAGTTCAAAGCTCCTTCCTTATCACATAAATAGAATTTAATAGACTTAATGTCTGGGGATCGTCTAATTTAAACCAAAATATTCAGAAAGAAAGAGGCGCATGGGATTTGTTATAAAGGAATGTTACTTGTATAAGCATTTTTAAATAAGGAAAGAGACTGTTCCTTTGTTTAAAAGGTCTAAACAAAAGCTTTTGCTCAACTGGAATCTTATGCATTGTTTAAAATCACTGCAAATAAGTAGGAACTGACAGAATCTTAAAAGACATCTTCGGTTTGATGAGGATTGTTACTGCTTTATGGAACATCTGAATTCTCTATATAATTTCCATAAACAAGAATTTGGGGTAAAGATGTTTTCCTAGTTTATTCTATAAAGAAGAATTTTATGTAAAGGTGGTTTCCTAGTTTATATCAAAGGAAACTAACCAATTAAAGAAGCATACCTTATTCTTCACAGGAAAAACCATGAAAAAATGCCCATTTTCCCAACTTAAAGTCATGGAAAATTTGCACATACGGAAAAATGGACAGGGTGATATAGGGAATCCACGTGCTCATTACTCAGCCCTAGAATTCATAGCTGTTCTTTTTTTTTTTTTTTTAATGTATTTGGTACAGGATCTCACTGCGCAGCTTGGATTCATCGTGGTCCTCCTGTTCTCAGCCTCCTCAGCGCTGGGATTACAGGCGTGCGCCACCTGGACTTGGTGGCTTGTGGGGCATGCGGTGCTGGGGATCAAACCTCGTCCCTGAGCTTACTTAAACAGGCACTTAGTCTGCTGAGCTATCTCACTGGCCCTTCACAGCTGTTCTTATTCTATGCCCCAATCCCCATAAAAATCCTGTATCACTTTAGGGCAAATCTTAGACATGTATAATTTTTTTCATAAATATTTCATAATGTATCTTTAAAAGACAGAGACTATTAAAATATATACATATATTAAAATTATATATTAATTAATATATGTTAAAATTATATATTATATAAAACTAGTTTTTTGTGGCCTGCTCAGCACACCCTGCCACATGCAGGGCTGGTGTGGCATGAGGTGCTGGGGAACAAACCGTGGTCCCCACACTTGCCTAAGGTTGCCTAAACAGGCACTTTAGACCACTGAGCTATCTCCTTAGCCCTTTTGCTTTGTTTTGTTTTAGGTTGGTTTTTTTGAGGCAGGGTCTCACTATGTAGTTCAGGTTGGCCTTTGTGTTAGCTGATACATTGTGTCAACTTGGCTGAATGAGCTCCGGTTGTGGGGGCCTAGCCCTGCAGGTGGGCAGGGCCCAGGAATTGAGAAAGGCTTCCGGCTGCCCTCCCGGACTTCCTGCCCCCCGCCTGGTCCCAGTCTTCCAAGGAGCTTGATCTTTCCAGCCAGGCCACTTTGGAAGAGCTCTGATCTCCGCCATGGAACACCAGTCTTTGCAGTCAGCATAGAAGGAAGAGAGAGACTTGATGGATGCCTGCAGCTGCTGCTCCTCCTCCATTTTTCATTGTTTTCTGCCGCATGGACTGCTGTCATTTGCCTTGGAGCCAGCGGAATACGGACTGAACCCTCCAGTAACTGTGAGCTAAATAAGCCTTTCCTTCCTTCATTTTGAGTGTCAGGTATTTGTCCTAGCAACGAGTAAAAAGTAACTAAGACAGCTGTGAACTCACTGTGCATCTCAGACTGGCCTCAAACTCACAGTGATCCTCCTGCCTCAGCCTTTCAAGTGCTGCGACTGCAAGCATACACCAACACATCTGGTTAATGAGGAATATTTATGTGTAGCTTTGTTCTTACTGGCTTAAGTACCAGCACACTGGCCTCATGGAATGAATCGAAATATGTTCTCTTATCTTTAATTTTGAGGAAGAATGTGCATAGGTTGGTATTAGTTATTCTTCAAATGTTTGGTTAATACTTGAAGTTAAGCCAACTAGATCTGGAATTTTCCTTGAGAGATTTGAAGTACAAATTTAATTTCTTCCAATAGATGGAAACCTACTCAGACAATCTGTTTCTTCTTTAGTGAACTTTAGTAGTGTTATAACCTATGTAACCATCTCCATTTTTGTAACTAAAACAGCTATTTTGTTATACAACTCTGTACTTTTCTGTTATAACCTATGTGATTGACTCCATTTTGTAACCAGAATAGCCATTCTATTATACATCTCTGTATGTTTCCACTGTAACTTTATTAATGAGGACTGTTTGGCATAAACTGATCCATCTGGCCTCTGAACACAGTTTTGTTAATGTTCGAATTATTCCTTTGTTCTGAGGCATAGATTGTTAAAAGCAGTCTACACAAAGTTTCCTGTGATCAGCCTCATATCTGAAGATAACTTTCTGTTCCAAGGACAAGTCCCTGTTCTCAGTGTTTCTTGTGATCAGTCCCATATCTGAAGGTAATAACTCTCTGTTCTAAGGATAACTCCCCGTTCCCCAAATTATCTCGATACCTTTTTGTGACATCCTGTGATCAACACCATGCCATAAGAATTAATTATTTGTTCCTAAAATTGTAACCGCATATTAAAAGAATGTAACCTGTTTCCCGTAAGTGGACGCTGACCCCAGTGCTGCATTCCCTCACGCTCAAGTCACCCCCCTCTTTGTGGTTTTCAGCTTTAAAAACCCTTGTCTCTCCCCACCTCAGCGCGCACCTACTTGGAGACAAGAGTACGTGCCGCCGCTGAGCTCAGCTAAATGAAGTGCTTTTAAGTTGAGTCCGGTTTTTGATTTTGGGGTTACAACAATAGTTTGTGTCTTTTAGGGAATTTGTCCATTTCATCTGAATTGTAGAAGTTATTGGTATCCATTTGTTCTTTATTTTTAATGTCTATAGGATCTACAGTGGAACTCACTTGCTCATTCCTAACAATCTAATTCCTTTTTGTGTGTGTGTATTTTAGGGGAGACTCTACAGGGTATTCAGGGTCTCACTACTAGATCGGACTCGTAGTGATCCGCCTGTTTACAGCCTCCCAAGTGCTGGGATTACAAGTGTGCACCACAATGCCCAGTCTCACTTGCCATCTCAGCACGCCCTGGGGGTGGGGCTGGCACGGCAGGCCTGGGGATCGAGACCCCAGCCCCTGTGCCTGCTTGCAGGCACTTTAATTCGCTGAGCTATTTGGTCGGCCCTTCTAATTCCTACTATTCCTAATATCTCATTCCTAATAGTCCTGCCTCTGTTTTTATTCTGGTCATGTGGGCTAGAGGTCTGTCAATTTTATTGATTTTTCTCAAAAAGAAATAAACCAGTTAGGCCAACACTGGTGATGCATGCCTGTAATCCCCGCACTCGGGAGGAAGAAGCAGGAGAATGGCTGCAAGTTCGAGGCCAGCCCGAGACACACAGTGAGCTCAAGGTGAATTAAAAGCCAGCCTAAACTACACAGTGAGACTCTGTCTCAAAAATAAATACATAAATAAAATAAGGTTTTACCAATTGGCTGTCTTAGTTGCAATTCAGATATTTCCTACTTTCTTTCTTTTCAATGTGCAGCATGAGAAAAGTGCTGTCCTTACTGTGCCTTCATGACTGTTTCTATTTAGTGAATACATCTTTTCTGGACACTGCTCACGGCGCAGGCACTGGTTCAGCAATAAACAAATATGCACGCTCTAGGGCTGGGGATATAGCGCAGTGGCACAGCGCTTGCCTTGTAAGCAGGAGGTCCTGAGTTTGATTCCTGGTACCAAAAAAAAAAGGATGGTCTAAGCCAGCTAAGCTAGGCATGGGGCACATATCCATAAACTCAGCACCCAAGAAGTTGAGGCAGGATGATTGCTGAACTTGGAGCCAGCTTGGGCAGGTTAGCAAGATCTTGTCTTAAATTAAACAAATAGAAAGAGCTGAGGTTGCAGCACACTGTTACAGTCCTGATGAGCTCAATCCCCAGTATCTTTTTAAAAAATTAATAAATTATAAATAAATAAATTTGGAAGGAAATATACCGAATTACTATTAATAACAACTATCTCTGGATGATCACAGATGGTTTTATTTTATATGATTTCATTTCTATGCAAACCAGTTTTCTATGGTAAGCCTATTACTTTTGTAATCTGAAAAAAATATAAATATACAAATTCATAATTACAAAACTCGTTGCCATGGAAAACAGCAGAAATACTATAGAAAAAGAACAGCGTGGGAGTTGTCCAGAGGCTTGGAGAAGGAAACAAGCAGGCAACATTGCTGAGAGCAATATGTGCAGTTACAGACACCTCTGTCCAAAATATTGGGTGGACCACAAACAGTGCGAGCTCTCAGCTCAGGAGCGGACCGATGGGCTCACGGGTGTCGCTGCCACTCGGGCAGGCCGAGAGCACAGGTCAGGTGCTCTGGACAGCGCAGCGTCTCTGTCCTACTGGCACAGCTTCCACGCTGCCCCTCATGCTGCTATGCCTCATAGTCCCTGCCTCAGGACCTCTGCGTGGGCCCCACATACCCTCTGCCTCGAAGGTCTCCTTCTTCTCTCATCTCACACAAGCCTGTAATCAAATATCACACT